GGCTCTAATGCACGCCATGTGTGACAGGAATGCTAGTTGCACAGATCAACTTGTGATTTTTGTTTGTCTTTTTATTTTTCTAACCACAGGTAGAACATCATCGCAGTTCTGAGTAACTACGAGATAGCCACTTGCCACTCCTCTTCCAAAAGAGGAGGTCAAATGCAACTTGGAATTCAGGATCCTTACCCTGGCTGCATACTGCATGGCACAAATGGAACACACCCCGCAATTAGAAATACAATACATTTTGTAACACAGTGTACGGATTTGAAACCTAAAACTCACGAGTTTGGATTGGAACAGTTCTGAGTAACTACGAGATAGCCACTTGCCACTCCTCTTCCAAAAGAGGAGGTCAAATGCAACTTGGAATTCAGGATCCTTACCCTGGCTGCATACTGCATGGCACAAATGGAACACACCCCGCAATTAGAAATACAATACATTTTGTAACACAGTGTACGGATTTGAAACCTAAAACTCACGAGTTTGGATTGGAACCACTTCCATTTCAGGATCCTTACCCTGGCTGCATACTGCATGGCACAAATGGAACACACCCCGCAATTAGAAACACATTTTGTAACACAGTGTACGGATTTGAAACCTAAAACTCACGAGTTTGGATTGGATCCACTTCCAAATGAGTCTTCATTCATTCAGTTTTAGGCCCCAGATTATTATTAAGTTTTATTAATGATTACCTTAATTGTATATATATTATGGAACACACTGTGATAATTATATATAACCAAATATAATTATATATAAATGCGTAATGGTCAAATCAAGGTACTTAGCATTGCCATCATCTTAAATTTTTTAAAAAATGTAACACATAACAATATAAAGGAATTGTGTTCCTCTATTATTCCATGTAATATTCTACAAAAAAGAGGAAACCATTTTGAAAGTTTCCATTTAGTTTCTATGAATTAAAAAAAAAAATAGTGGGTACCAATTCCAAAACTTACCGTGAAGCTACTCTGGTCAAAAGAGTATGCAGAATAATCTTTGTTTTGTAAAAAAGAACAGTATGGTCCTGGCATAAAGATAATATAGATAGGGAACAGAATTCCTTGCAAAAGAGTAGAACTGAAAGTATAGAAATAAACCCACGTGTCTATGACCAACTGAATCCTTTTTTTTTTTTTTTGTACCGGGGATTGAACTCGGGTCCTTGCGCTTGCAAGGCAGGCCACCGAACCGCTGAGCTAAATCTCCGGCCCCCAACTGAGTTCTGACACGGGTGCTGAGCCCATTCAGTGGGGGAAAGAAGTCTCTTTGATAAATGGTGCACAAACACTGAAGTTACACTCACAAGGATGGGCAGAGCTTCACTCCACGCCACAGAGAGAAATTGACGCACATGGATTGGACCCTAACTCGAAGGGTGGAAACTGTACAACTCTTAGAAGAAAACACAGGAACGAATTCTTCTGGCCTTGGTTTAGGCCATAATTTCTTAAGCATGAAGTCAACAGTATAATCACAAAACAAAAAGTTAAAAAATTAGATCTCGTTAAAGTTGAAGAGTTATGCCTCAGAGGACACTCTCAAAACAATCAAAGGATGACCCATAAAATAAAGTCACATAACTGACTAGAATCTACTACTGGAATATATAATTAACTCCTGAATCTCAGCAACAGAAAGACAAATGACTCAACTGTAAATGGGCAAAGCACTTACATAGATATTGTTTCAAGGAAGATACAAAGATGTACAATAGGTAGACCAAAAGATGTTCAGCTTCATTAGTCATTAGGGAAATGCCATTAGAGGAAACTCCACTCGGTATCACTTTACACTCGTGAGATGAAGACAACAGTAATCATCAAGAAAAAACAGGTAGTAGCGAGGAGGTGGAAAAGTGGGAACCTTCCTACCCTGCTGGGGGACAGGCGCACAGCACACGCTGTAGCTCATCAGTAAGCCAAACTTAAAAGCACCAGTGATTCAGCAATTCCACTTCAATGTATCTGTCTAAAAGAACTGAAAAGCACATTGAAAGAAGTTGCATTTGAAGATTCATAGCAACACTCCATATCTAGCCAAGAGGAATGCCCTACATGTCCATTAAGTGAGGAATGGATCAAGACAGAATGGTAGGTAAATCGGTACAACGGATCGTGACTCAGTCATACAAAGGAAGTACTGATTCCTGTCGCAGCATGGATGACTCTTGAAAGTTTATGCTAAGAGAAACTAGCCACACACAAAAGGCCACATGCTGCATTATTCTCCTTACACGCAGTATCAGGATTTGCCAAATGTGTACAGATGAAAGTAGGCTGATTGTTCCAAGATTTGGGGAGGGGGAGGGTATAGCAGGCACAGAGTTATGTTTGGGGGTGATGGGCATGTTTTGGAACCAAGCAGTGGAGAGAATCACACGACATTGTCAGTGTACTCCGTGCTACTGAACTGTACAATTTAAAATGTTAAAATAGTGCATTTTATGTTACATGAATTTAGCCACAATTTTTAAAAATGGAGACAATTATTGTCGCGGTGGTGACCGTCAGTCAGGAGACGTCAGAGGTCTTTTCTTTTTTGTAATTACTAGCTAAAATGTTGGAAAGATAGTAAAACATTTAAATAATCATAAACATTTAGTTCTGCTTTACACACGATGTTTCTCAGCATTTTGATAAATTTTAGAAATTTGTGTAACATAAACCACAGTTTATCAGGCTTGGCGCTGTCTCCTAGCTGGGCTGGCTAGCTCTATTTTGGGGCAGACCTGGACATTGTGGGATGTTTAGCAGTATTTCTGGTTTAAACTTGTCCCACCCCAAAGGTGACATTGTGACAAATGTCTCCAGACATCCCATCGTGTTCCCTGGGGTCAGAATTGCCCAGGCTGAGAATTACTGCTGTGATCTTTTGGGGAGTCATTTGTTATTCTGGGATTTCATCATCTTTTGAATTTCCTTTTTTAAAAAAATCAATTTTTGCAGTTATCCATTGGTAATTTGCTAGTAACGGTGAAATCAAAGGGGGAGAAAAAGCAGCACAACATTGAAGATTACAGGTAAACTTCAAAACATTTCGCAGTATTAACTATACCACTCACTTTTAAACAAGCAGGTCTCTAACTGGCTACTAAAGGCCCTGGCAATAAGCTAAATGTGGATAGCACATAAAAAAAAAAAGTTAGTGTTCAGAATGTTCCCCTTTCAAACCCTTTTTGGGCAAAGAGGCCTGCTCTGCCTGCATTCCAGAATAATGACAGCCCCTGTGCCCTTGGTTGGTTCTGCCTCTTTCTCCTTTGAAAACGCCAGGCACAGGCCATGCAGAACAGCTGATACCATTTACCAGGTCTGGAATCAGACCTGGTCAACACAGGGAGCAGCCTGTGGTCTGACCCCAGCTGGCAGGAAGTGTGGAGTGGTCCCACCAGCGTGGTGCCACCTGTGTCCAGTTTATACCCTGGATTTCTCAGTGGGGCTCCTTTTGCACAAAGAGTTCTGAGACCAGGCTTGAAAGCTACAGGCTCCTCTTCCTACGTGTGCAGCAGGTGGGCAGAACTAGGTGGAACCCAGCCCCCCGTTCTGGGGAAGGCAGCCAGGCAGCTCCAGCAGGATGTGGAGCATCTTTGTTAGGCCTCGGTTTCCTCCTTTCTGCATCTGCACCACAACTGCCATCTCGTTCTGGGCTTCCTCTTGGATGCAGCAAATGGCATGAAAGCAGCACTGATGCCATGGAGGAGATGTGCAGTCTCCACAAACTCATGTGCTGAATCCCTAATCTGCAATGCGATGAGGGGTATCAGGAGTGGGGCCCCTCAATGGGATTAGTGTCCTCACAAGGAGATGAGGGGCCTGGTGCTTTCTCTGCCATTCCAGGACATGGAGAGAAGAACCGAGAACCCGATCGTGCTGCCACTCAGCTCTCAGACCTCCACCCTCCAAAGCTGTGAGGACTGAATGTCCGCTGTTTAAGCCTCGCAGTCTGCAGTGTTGCGACAGTGGCCCGTGCTGGTGAAGACAGTCCCCCGCCGCAGCACACACGGCCCTCCTGCCGGAACCGTCCCCCGCTTTCCCCAGGACAGACTTGTTAAACTCTTCCCTCCACTCCTCCCAATCGTCTTGGGGCCAGGCCACAAAAGCAAGTCCAGCTGGGACTCTGCTACCGATGGACCCTGGAGTCATCCTTAATTGTTTATATGCCTGAGAACACGTGCATATAGGTTAGGTTTTTTGTTTTTTTCAGTACCAGGGATTGAATCCAAGACCTTCACACTGAGCTGTGCCTCCTGCCATTTTGTTTTTTGTTTTGGGAGAGTCTTGCTCACTCAGTTGTCCGAGCTGGAATTTGTGACCCTCCTGTCTCAGCCTCCCAGAGTGCTGAGATTACAGGCCTGTGCCACCACCATACCTAGCTTTATGGGTGAAATTTTATGTCATTACCAAAACCCTAGGAAAATCTTATCTCCATAAAGCCAGACTCAGAAGTTTCTGGAAATGAGTTTGGCTAGGATCCGAATGAAGGACAGATGAGCCCATAGTTCACCTCAGGAAAAGCAGGGACAGGTGAGGCAGCCACCAGTGAGTGTTCAGAGACACCCACAGGGGAGACAGAGCAGACCCAGGACACAGACACTGCTCAGTGGTGCAGGTGGATCTGGGAAGGGACAGAGGCTGCGGTCCCTGAAGGGGGGGCGGCCCTTCAGTGTCCCAGGGGGTCAGCAGGGAAGCAGTGGGGGCTTTTCCGGGAGGGAGTGCCCCCAGGGGCCACCAGAGGACAGGGCACTACGCCTGCCAGGCCACACGGATGGGACGAAGCGCCCAGAAGGTCACACGCGTCCTTCCCTCCTCCGCTCCCCTGGATAAACAGAGCCGTATGCCAGCAGCTCCTAACTGCAAACGTGGCAGTCTCTTTCCTTTTTCCCTGAACTCGGGTCTGGAAGAGGTGAACAAGCACCAGCCAGCTTCAAGCAAAGCCCATTTCCAAGTTTAATCCGGGAGGAAAGGCGGCGGGGTGGGGGGAGGGAGGGGGAGCAGTGGTCTCATGTAAAGAATCAGCTGTTGATCAGAAGAGACTGAGCTTCAAAGCATCTATCTTGAAAACTGTCATCCAGACGAAGACCGCCGGGTTGGCTTGAAACAAGACTCTAGGAGAGGCTGGGTTGATAGAACCGGTCGGTGCAGGTGATCATGAAGACAGAAGAGTATGCCAAAAAGCAGAGCAAAGAAAAGGGATGGGGGATGCGGTGGAGTGGG